TTACTACATTCCCTTCTTCGCGCAATACCACTGAATATGGCGCCTAAACTGACATCGAAACCACTACCAACATAACTGAAACCTGTAAGATTTTAGGTGACCATTTCAGTGGAAAATCTACAGTCTAATCCACAAGTATTTCAATATAGTTACATCGAACTTAAAAAGAAAATGTATGAGATATTATTTACCTGGTTTTACTTCTGGATAGAATTCAAATTTTTCAAACAGAAAAATCTCTTAATCATGTAAAAGAGCAGAAAGAAAGGTTCTGAACTTGTCCCTCACTCAAGTAATAACTCTTTAGTCTTCTCTCACCAATCTTTTAAGGATAATTAAATCACAGATGACTTCGATTCTATGGTTGTAGGGAAATAGGAAATTTCTCCTAACTCATCCAAATCATTTGTAAAATGCATAGGAATTTTTAGTAGCCAACTGACGCTACTATAGTGTTCTTTAGAAATTAAGAAAATTTATTGATTAAACTCATCTGGATATGTCAATATCGAAAGCTGTAAAATTTTAGAAAGGAGTGTTCAGTCATATTACCTAACAGCCTGTATACTATGATGAATTTCACAGAGTTATAGTATACGTTACAAAGCGATACGTTTACACAAATTTTTGGTTTCATAAATTTGTCTGGTACTGTAAACTGAAATCATAAGAATAACCAGTAGCTTAGTGGTCTACGAGCTTTCCTTGTAACTGGAAGGTTCTGGCTTCGAATCCCGGTGGTTGCGTATTGATGAGGAGTCCCAAACTAAGACGAAGCAACTGTCAAGTACTCCCAGGTAGTTTTCCAATGGTTCTCTAACTGATGTCAGCTCATGATGAAATCCTGTACCCAATTTTTGAAAGCAAACACTTGAATAACGAACTAAATCCAGCTGTAAGGATCCTTTAGTACTTGCATGATATTAAACTTAAAGCTGTTCGGTCTTCTCAAAGATGTTTGTTATTTTCTGCTTTATTGACAGCTTATTAGTCACAATTTCAATCAAAATGTTTAGGAGATTTAACCTTCTAGGGTATAAATTTGTGATGATGGTTTTAAAGTTTGTGGAATATACACATTTGGTCATAGGAGAAATCATTAAGGCGGTTGTAGTGAAGAAAACATTTTTCGATGAAGTCATCAGCTTGGATATGCATTCGTGTGTATAAAGTGAATGAATGAACGGGAATGTTCCAGACCTATTTCCAGCCAAAGGTCAAATTATAACGGAATTAAAAATAGGCATTAAAAATGTAATGGTAATAAAATAAATAGAAAGAAAGGATAAAAACATAGTAAGCCAATAACTATTGAGAAAATTGACTTTTTGTGCAGTCACAGATTTAAAAACTTAATGAAAACAAATATAAACTAGAAGTGTAGATAAGAAACGTAATCGGATAATCATTAATGAGAGGACTAACTGTTTATGATGATCGTATTTGTTTCGTATCATAGAATTCGCTCAAACTTTTGGATTATTAGTACCTTGGCTGTGCCAAAATGCCTTGATCTCACTCACCTTGAGAGTTTTGATCGGATCTTGTGTAGAACTTTAGAAATGGCGCTAATTGTCCTGAATTCACCAGATGTTCTGTTACGCGGTTGATCTACCAATCTAATTTACTAATCCATGGGTGGGAAATGTCATGCGCAACACGTGAAAATTCAGATTAAGGAAACAATCAATACCAATAAAAATAGACTAGACATACTTGTAAAAATTATATTTGTAAAATCTCAGCAAAATTGAAATGAGTAATTCTAACGTTTCGTTACAAATGTCTACTTTTCACTCGGCGCCCAATTATTTAGGAACTGTTCGGCCAAATCTTGATCACAGTTCATATGAAATAGACTAGAGTGTGTGAAAACACACAAGAGCAACCAATCAAGTTCATCGTCACCGGCAGAGATGACTAATAAACTCGTGAAGAAATCTAAAAGCTCACTTCAACAGATTGAAGTATGCGCTGAAGATGTTTCCTAGTGTTGGGGCAATGAAAGCTTCGCAAATAAACCACTATCAAGCAGAGAGAATACAACTACATCAAAACACTCGAATGTATCCAATTTGAATAAAGGAAGAAGAAGAGTTTGTACTGAATAAAAAGGTAGCGTCATCTATTTTGGTGACTTCTCATCAGCTGCTCGAAGCCTAAATAAATTATTAAGCTAATGTACAGAAAACTTTTTTAACATACTTGCAAACATTACATGATGTCAGTTGACAAGAGGTTCGAAATTTAATGAACACTGCTCAGAAAATTACACTGACATGGTTTTTACACAGGGACTTTTAGCTTAAACAAAATCAGTGTATGCATTCAATGGTGAAGGTGTTATGTAATACAGAAAAGAGCTGTTAAATTCAAATTTATAAAGGGGAGTAAATGTATGAAATACGCAATATCTTGTTCACTCACAATTCTACATGTGTGGGTAGCTTAGTAACATACCTTATACTGTCAGCCGTTAAGTTTTTTGGCTAATTAACCTAAAACACGATAAAAATCCGTTTACTTTAACGATTTTAACTTCTGTGATACTGAAAACTTGGCATGCGAAAATCATCAGCAAATACCTTGCCTTTCCAAATGATTTACACAAAGATTTAAAACATATAGTCAATTTCGCTTAGATCCCAACGTGTTAAATTTATACGTATTAATAAAGTGTTTAAAAATGAATATTACAGCTAACTTGTTATGTTGGGAACTCCGAACTAGTAGACTGAGAGCGAATACTAACTTAATGCGCTGCGTAACGTGTCCTAATCGCACGTCAATAACAACAATAACACCGCTCGCTCTCAAAGACAAAAAATGACTGGACGTCGATAAGAGAGCTTTTACTCTCTCAAACAACAGTCAAAATGCTGGGGAGAAAATCTATGTATAAATACAGTTAGAATGACCTTGAAAATGCAGTAATTCAGTGATGCATTAGCAATATCAACAGACAATAGGAACCCACCGATCCAAAAAGATGCCTCACGCCAGTACGCGATAACCCCTTAAATAGCTGTTTTAAGGCTTTATGCAAAACTGTGAGTATATAACAGCCCCCCCCCTCAGAAGGAAAAATAACTGTGCAGCAAAATTTAATATTTCTTTATTTTTGAGTCCACTTGAAATCGTACGGTCTGAGATCTCCTGCGACTGGATCGTCTTCTTGATAGCAGGTCCTTCTTTGGCTCTGGCTTCCATGGAGTTGGCAAATAAAATGTTTCCAGTATTAAGCCAAGGGGTAAGACGGGCTCTGCAGATGTAACGTAACGATGTCGTAACTTGTTTTTATGTCTCAGCTGAGTTTCATGACCCACTGTAACCTTGTACAAAACAGCTCCAAGTTGACCTTTTATTTAGCCTTCTGTCAGTTTCCCTTTTCCTGCTCGATAGTTTCGAGTGTATACCGATTCTCCCTTGTGGAAGCATCCTGCAGTTATTTTTCCGTTGAGCTGGTGGTGATGGCAACATTGCATGGTGATGAGTACGCAACATTCGTCCCATTAAGAGTTCTCCTGGATTTTACTTAATTGCTTAGGTTGGTGTTGTGCGGTACACAAAGAGGAACTGTTGTGTCTTTTTCGGTTTGGCCCCGCCTCCCGCTTTCAGCAGAGACATTTTGAAACTGTCTACAAATCTCTCTGCCTGGCCATTGGTCTGTGGGTAGTGGGTTGGCGTCCACACATGCTGTATACCATTTCTCTAACAGAACTCTCGGAAAATCAGCTGTGTAAACTGACTACCGTTGTTGGACACAATGCTTTGTAAGGCGCTGTGACATGTGCAAATTTTAGTGAGTGCTGCAACTGTTTTGTTGCTGGAGGGTGGGGTAGTCGGAAACACCTCTGGTTAATTTGAATAGGCCCCTACTACTACTACTACTACCAAATAATACACCCCATTGACAGGTCTGGCAAATCCATATGCGGTTGAGACCACGGTTGAGATGACGGCCATGCATTGAGTATGTCTTTAGCTACAGCCTGGTATGAGTGGCATCGTGGGACAAATTCTATAATATCTGGGTTCATGCTAGGCCAGTATGCATAACTTCTAGCGATCGACTTCATGAGTGCTATTCCTAGGTGCCCCATATGAACTGTTTCAGTGCAACATTCCGTAGAATATCAAGTAGTACAAATCGTTCACCAAACATTAAGCAGCCGTTAACGATGCTGGGGTCGTGGCGGAATAGTTTCTTCAGGTTCTGGTTAAAATGTGAAGACAGTTGCTGATTTCTTATAAACCTACCCAGACGTTCATTAATTAAACATTAATACATATTTATCAGTGAAACTATGTTATAAAACCGAACTACTAACCTTGATGTCTTTTATTTCTTATCAGTTAGGAATCAACAGCCTTGATTCAGGTGTATTCATATCTTGTCCTCAGTTTAAGTGTTATATTTCATTTTTTCAACAGCCTTTCATTTCTGTTTTATTTTATAATACATTCAGACGCATGTTTATACTACTTAAGTGTTTGTGGTCGTTCCTTCAGAGTGCAAATCTGACATGTAACAAAATGAGCTGCTACTACTACACAGTAATTCCAAGTCTTACAATGATCGTCTCATCATGTCTACCCAATGTAGTTACAACATCACGGCAACAAAACCTATCCAAGCAATTAGCGTGCGGGAAAACAGTCCAATATTTCCTATTTATCCATCTATCTATGTGGTAAAGCTGGGGTCTATAATTCTAGTTTCTTTTCTACGTTTCTGTCAATCATTACCATGGCGTCTAACTTTTCTGACTAGCAAATCTTTACCCGAGTAACTACTAACTATTCTTCAAATTATCCATAAGGAATTTCGAAGTGAAATTCGATCATGTCTGATCATAGTTTATTACGCAGTGACATTCAAAATTACTTTAAAGCAAATTAATAAAGAATTCTACAGTTTTATTAACAAATAACTACTAGTTATATATTACTGAATAATATTGAAAATCTTCCGATTAAAGAAGTTATCATTTCTTTTTTCACAATGAAGTTGATGGTAATTTTAAAAGACGTTTCTGCTTCTGTCTTTGATTACAAAACCACACGCGAATAACATTTTTCGTCATATTCAATTGTGAAGCTAATTGAATCATTTGTTCTGTTGTCGGTCGACAGTCTACTGTATGAAAAAATGATTCAAGGAAGTATTTATCTGCTTCAGAAATAGATGTACGCCTACGTCGTCTATTCTGTGTAGGTGCTTTGAACGATGAAGAATTAAATGATGTTGGTGATATATCAAATGACGAAGGTAATGATTTATGTAATGAATTTTTGAAACTGGCGAAATTTGGATCTTGATTTTGGGATTTTTGTCTGGGTAACGTGGTTTGATTCAATGCTGATTCTTCTTCCATTTGTTTCAACCAAATCTCTAGGACAGGTTTTAAAGCAAGCATATTACTAGGTGACAATGATAACGATTCGAATCGGCATATTGTTGATTGGGATAAACAACCGAAACTGCATACATTTATTTCACCTAAAGCTCTTCCGACTTCAGCTTGTGTTATACCTAACTGGATTCTTTTCTGTTTAAAAATCTCTACAAATTTGTGTAATCCATCAAGTGATAATTGGTCAAATGTGTTGTGAGTTATATTCGTCATGGTAGACGTTGAATGAATAGGACAGTTGAATGAGCATAAAGGAGAACAATCATTCCACCATACACATGGTGACGAGGTATCCTCTTGCTGACTCTCAGTATCATTTGGAAATGACGTGAAATTTGATAACTGACCATTTGAGTCGTTTGATGAGGGACTGATTGATTTAAAATGAGGGAATCTGTTACCGTTGTTAGCATCAAATGTATTGACTGGTAGGTAATTCTTAAAAGCAGGGATTCCGTTCATCTTTACTTAACTTTGGCATTATTTTGTTTAACGAATCAAAGTGATGACCCAATATAATGACGAACTTTGCAGCAGTTTACTTATATAGATGAATGATTTTCAGTTGTTTTTTTTACTATATATGAATTGACATTTTTTTCTTATGGTTACAATTCACAATTCAATTGGTATTGAAAGACACTGACTTAACAATCTTCAGTTTAACTAACTGAATGCTTTTGTTGATAGTGAAGAGAAACATGGTACTTTAATTCACATGTAGATCTATCCTGTAGAAAAATCCAAAAAGACGATGACTTACTTTAGGAAACAGAGATTACAGTTACATAAAGAGGGGATAAAGCTAACAACTCTTACTAAGAATAATTTTAGTTGAACTACGTGTTGTGGGTGTGATAAAGACAACGGATTCCAATGGAATACTACGCTCACATTCAATACTGCATTAGCAACGGAATGCTATGTGAGTCGGTGGCAAAGCAGTTAGGGCGCTCGCCGACCATGCACATGGTCCGGGGTTCAATCCCCGGCTACAGATTCACTCCTTTACCTCACTAAGCCAGAAATATTGCTGGTAAAGAGGAAAGGTTAGGCATGAGACCAGCAACCCCATCCCGTAAAAATAAACACTGCTACAGAAACTTCAAGCCACTAGCTTGAAGCCCTATGTTCCACTGGGGAACGTGAAGGAGAATTTAAAAACACAGAATGCTATATAAGTATTTGAACATTCTATTTCATGTCGTTTAATGCAAACCGAAATTACATGCTCAATGATTGGTTAAAGAATATAAACTGTATAGATAGAAATAGCTGTTTGATCACTTGAAGAAAATACACCTTGATTTCCATATCTTGCTTTCTTCTGTTACATACGTACTATATAGTGGATATTTCATAAAAACATACCATTACGGTTTGAATCCCCCTATAGGTCGACAGTATAACTAACCCACACTCACATGTAAACAATTTAGCTGGATTTTTGAATGTATATTAAGGAATCCGTATTTAAAAATCCTAGTTCAAAACAATTTCCACATCTGATAAGGACATGGATGTTATCCTAGTCTACTAAAACAAGTACTGATCACCCTAGGGCTAGCTGGACAAGGACAATCAAACAAATATGCATAAATATATATATATATATAGTGAGTAAACTTAACTGCAGCCCGCATCGCAAATAAAAGAATATTAATAATCTGCCATTGATTTAGTCATCAAAAAAGGCTAGATGTTTCATTCTCTTTTAAAAACTATTATATTCCTGCAAACAGCAATAAGTTATCAAGCGAAATCGCAATATGTATTCAGTTCATTGCAAAGAGGCGTTTCATTACCAATAGAAATAGTGTGAGATCAGAAGACAAGTAAGAACTTAGTAATGAATAAAGATATATATATATATATATAAAACAATAGATTATATACTAATTAGATTGGGAGGCAGATAAATGCATCTGTTTTGCATCGACCTATTTGGAATTTCGCCTAGATGTTGTTGCTTAGATAGACACTAAAAGCTACAGTATACCTCCATTATACATAAGATTTTATTTTTATGAAATCACACAGTGTTGTACAGTAATATTAACTGATGACGTTTCAGCCACAAACTATTGCCACTCATAATCATATCAAGTTACTCACACAACTTTTTTTCTTTCATTTGTATACATGTGTCGAATCGATTAGATATTGGATTAAAAATCAATATAAGATAATGTATACTCAGAAATTATTAATACGAGTGTTAATGATCAATTGCAATAAGATGGGAAATAAGACGAGTGCTTTTATAGTCATAATCAGTTACTTGTTAGAATGTTGTGATGTGCTTGAATTGAAATAGAATTTTAAGATTATTTATTATCCTTTTCTGATTTGACTGGAGGTAATAATATCTTCCATGCATATCTCTGGTATTTGCATTGAGTCGTTTCTGTTGCATGTGTTGTGTTCGGTGTAGACTCAATGAACCAGTCAGGATTCGGTAATCAATCTCTCTCTCTCCGCCTACATAGATTACTTCTTAGAATTTTAACCCTATCCCACCCTATTATGTGGTTGTTTGTTAATGCGTGAAGTGCGATAGCTGAGCTTTTTTCTAAATTACTTATTTTCTCAGATGGGACCAACCATTCTTACCTTAGCTAAATTCTTATGTTCTGACAATCTGACTACCTCCGATCTACTAGTTTGACCTATGTAGTTGACCTCACAGTCATTGCAGAGTATTTTGTAAATTACATTATTTTGTCTAATTGGGTCAACTGGGTCCTTTAACCTGCACAGCTTGTCCCTAAGTGGGTGAGTTTGTAGGTTTAAATGCCACCCTAATTCCTGCTTTATTCAGAATCCAGATGTCCCATCCTTATATGGTATAACCGTAGATGCCATATATTCTCTCTTATTTGTGTAATCATTACTAGTTCCATAATCATTTTTATTTTGTTTTTGGCCTTTACTGATCTTCATAATGAATTTTATAGGATAATTATTCAACACCAACGCTTCTTCTATCTGTTTTATTTCGTCATTTAAATCTTTTCTTGTGCTACTTAGTGCTATGGCTCGGTTTGTTAGACATTTCACTAAGCCTGCCTTAACAGTTAACGGATGAGATAAATTAAAGTCCAAATATCTATTAGAATGTGTTGGTTTTATATAAACACTAGTGTGTAATTTACCCTCTTCTATTCGTTTTATCTTACAATCTAACATGACAGCTAATTCTCCTTGTTCATTTTCCGATTCAAATGTGAATTTTATTCCCTTCATTAGTGAGTTTATACATGTCAAGAAGCTAGAGATATGTTCTGTTTTTAACACTGTGAAAGTGTCATCCACATATCTCCACCGTATTTTTGGAGTAGGATGAAATGTATTGAGAGCACTATTTTCCCAGCTGTCCATAAATATGTCTTCTACGATAGGGATATTGGTGATCCCATTGCTACACCTTCTGTTTGCCTATATATTTTGCCGTATACCTCGGAGTACTTAAAATAGAAAACAATCATCTAACTTAAAAATATCCCTCCATTATTTCAGAATTTCAACAGTTTCATGAATTTTACATTTTTTAAACTGAATGTATAGTATTCCATCGGAGAAGAACAATCAAATAATCATGAATAAATAATTTGTCTCACTCACAATGTATAGCTACAAAAAAAACTTATTGCTTCAAAAATAAAATTATTTGGTCATGTGGATAATTCCTGACTGAAGCACTGGGTGATGAGGGTTTGAATCTCAAAAGCGGCATGAGTTCCTTCAAGGTTGCAGATACGCCTTGCTGACTGGTTGGTGAGTGCCAAGTAGCACGAAACCTAGGTACAAGGCTTCCTGCCACTTGCCTCAAACCGTTTAATACCAACTATTCAAAGTGCACGGTAATAGCGAGCTACCTAGAATGGTGGCCACATTGCAAACCTGACCGATAGTATTCACTCTGCACCAAAGAAAGGATTAGACACATCTGACTTTTATTATATCAGTGAATTGTCACAGCTAAGTGATGATCCCTAGCCTAGCTGTCATAAACAGTTTCATACATCAACTTCCTGGCGACTGACTTCAATCACCTAATATTCATAGAGTTCATTTTATCCCCTTTAGAAGTGTTTGTTATCTTATTAATTCAAACTAAATAACTCAAAAATAGTTTTACAATATAAAACCACTGTTTAGAATAAACAAGTAAAAAAGCTTTGAAGAACATATATCCTAGTTTTTCTTTAACTAACTTATCTGAATACCATAAATAAAAACGGTATGCATTGTCACAAGTTATTGACAGTCGTATAATTAAGTATCGGTTTGTAGGGATTCGACTGATTGGTTACAGTATTTCATCATGAGCTCACGTCGGTTAGAGAATCATTGGGAAACAAGCAACGGACAGTGGCTTCAAACCCCGGTGGGCACGTGCTGTCAAAGAGTCCCAAACTGGGATGAAACAATTGTCCAATACTCACAGTTTTTTAATGGTTCTCTAACCAATGTCAACTCATGGTGAAATCTTGTAACTTGTCATACAGAGTTTAACGTCAAGGTAGATTTCTAGAGTTAGAATGGTTACGACTTAATTTCGAAGATTATACAAGACTACATCTTTATTGTCTTTTAGTGTCATCTTATTTGTGGTGTTTTCTGCATACATTCATAGTTGAACGTATCATTCAAGTCAACATAGTTGTGTTCTGAAGTAATCATTCTCCTTGGTTAAATAAGATCCTTAAGAGGTTATCTTAATTCTGGTTCGATAATATTTTATACAGCAGGGGTAATGCATGACTTACACTTCGTTTTATTTCAAACTCATCAACTGATGGATACACTCTTTGATTTTCGAACTGATGAGCACCGTATTATTTAAATTTTCACCTGATGATTCGTAGATGAAAAAAACAAAACAAAAAACAAACATACATTATGACTTCCATTACTTGTCTCTGTCATGTATCATGTCACAAGGTTAATAAAGAATTTAAAGAATAAATAAATTAAAGTTTTTATTCAAAATCAGTTACATATTCTGGTTTAAAAGCTGAATACTACTTACTAGTAAAGAAGAAAACTCTTTTTGGCTGATTATCTGTTTCTTTCAAATAGAAAAAGAAAACGAGAAAAATGATTTATTTATATCAGTTCTTGAATATTTATCACATATTGCTAACGCAATTAATCATCATCAACCAATAAAATAAATTTTCGGTCACTTGTAGCGCTGATATAAGTGAAGGCAAAAATCATTATATTATACTAGCCAATATATTTATTAAGAGTTTAGTGGAATTTATCTACAAGAAGTGCTTTTATTAGCTTAACATATAAAGCGAAAATGAAGTATATATATATATATAGCAACAGAAGACAAGGGCCAGGCGACAGATCATTTATATGTTAACTGTATCCACCTACCCAAAGTCTTTGTTCTCATTTTTCTCACGGCCAATGTTGGGGACATAAACATTGACGTAAATTACTGT